CCTAGGGAGACTTATACCTACGTCTCTTCCCAGTACATGTCTAGCGTTGGAACTAAGGTCTTCAAAGCAAACACATTATTTCCCCACTTCTTTACATTTATTGTCTATGGGAGACTTTGAAACACGTTTAAGTGGATCTCCTTTAACAGTGCTCAGTATAGCTTTTCTGTTCAAAGTTTGTGTGCAGATGGAGGATGAGGATAACATATTTGAAGGCCTGATGGCCACAGACTTGCTGGGGAATGTTCGATGTCATGAATTTGTGATTTTTCTGTAAGGTTTAAGAATAGTGAAACATCTTATTGCAGCATTTATCTGCATGGTAAAGAAAAACCTTCAAAATGAACAAAAAGAAGTTCAATCTTGATTTGCAGGCCTATTTGTGATTGTGTAGACATATTAAATGGCCTGCATGTTTGATACCAGAATGATGGATATGGGACTTGATAGATTTGTTTGTATTGCCTGTACAATGCATCTTATTTTGAGCTTACAGAATGATTTCAATAAATAAAATGACATTGAAGAAGAATTTGCATATTATATACGTGAAATATTGGATTAAAGTAGGTCAGGGATATGGTAATGCTCCCCGTCCGTCCAAGGCAATTAAAGCCTGGAGCATATCTTACACATTATTTCACCTGTGATCATCAATGCTGGTATATCTTGGAAAGGCCACAAAAGTGTCACGTAAAAACATAGGTCACTGTGACCTACATGTTGACCTTTGTTCTTAATTTAAAAATATGTGTGATAACGCTTGTTCGTAGCGTATCTGCTGCATAATTTCACATTTGATCATAAAAACTGGTAATTATGTATATATAAAATGGTACATCTTGTTAAGTGGAAGTGTCATGTAAGCGGGTTTAGGATCGTACCTTCCTGCGTGTCTATGGATGGAGACCATATAGTTTAGCGATTGGAGATATTGACTATGTGTTGTAACCTTGTAAAACTAAACTTATCTTGATTACTTTTAGTGACAAAATCATAATGTGAGGAAACAGGAAATCTATAAATTGTCGAATTTGACTCTGTCATTTTGAAAGATATAAAATATATTGATGTATTGTAATAATGAAAGTGCATAAGAAATGTCTTTTAGACCCTGACTGTCCATAAAGCAGGCCTTGACCATAAAAAACTTCATCATAATGTCTCTTCCCTATAGGACTCCGGTCTTTCACTGATTTACTTCTCAGCATATGAACAAGGTAATAAAGAACATGTAGGTAGATAATAATAATAAGTTGAGGTTCTTATATTCTGCTTTATCACAACCTAGTTTGTAGGTCGTCTCAAAACTGTTCACAAATTATTATCGGTGGTTATAGGGCCTTTGCAACCAGCCAATATCTTTCTCAACTCCCTGGGGAGCATACAGCCGGTGCTGCCATTTCGGCACTCACAGCTAACATTCTACAATTCTAGCACTACCCAACCACGTACTCATTTACAGCTGAGTTGACTGGAACAAGCGGAGTAAAGTATCTTGCTCAAAGATACAATACAGTGCCGTGATGTGAGTCGAACTCGCAACCCTCAAAGCCCGGCGTCCTACCACTAGACTACCATAAGCATGCCTCCATAGATAGGAACAATGAGAACTTATAGTGTCTTCTAAAGGTATATGATTGTGTTAAATACCTCTGAATTACATACATATAATGTGTTTGTTTGAGCAAGCACGGGATATATGTACTCTATCAAATATAAAAAAAGTTGAGTTTATTTTAAGTGAAGGAGAAGCATGTTTGTGTGGAATCTCTATAGGAACATGGAACAATATCAATAGAGAGAGAATGCCAAATTTTAATCTTACAGTTCTCGCAACCCACTCATTTGTTATTACGGATACAGATATGCCAATTTATTCTGTACAGCATTTTAAAATTTCTATCAGGCTTAATATTAGATTGAAACACAATAGGCTATTCTGGTTGGCCCATTAAGGAACCTGTATCAATCAGTCAACAGCAACTGATATACATAAGTATATACATAAGTATATCAACACTCGGCTAAGTCCCTTAATCTGGGATTGTGTTTACTCAATCTCTAATAACAACTTGTAGACAAACACTGAATTGACATACTTGATACAGTTATAGGCCGATGTGTGTTTGCATTTTCCAAAACGGTGCTTTTAACGGTTTTAAAATTGAGTAACCGGTTAGATAGGTTTTCAAATCAGTGCCAATTTAAAGGTTTTGAATTGTTACTTGAATTTGATATTACAGTCCATGTGACTAGGGACTTAGTACTTAAGCTTATTTATGATTTCACCTTTGCTACCCAAACATACTTTACTGTAAAATTTGAGATGTTTGTAGAATATTTATTTTCATTCTTTTGTATTGGAAATTATCAATACACATCAACATATTAGCATACATATTCACTATGATTTTCGTTTAAAGCTACAGAAACTTCCCGGAACCCACTCCATAGTAAACAATCAGTGGGGTTTTAAAGGGAAAAACATTAAAATATATGCAGATGAGTAATTCTGTATACTACAAAAGAACACTTAACCCTTTAACCCCAATGTAACTTTGATACACTCTACCATGCGTTGAGCTGGAGAGGTCCATTATGGTCTACAGTGGTGAAAGGGTTATTATAAGCATGGTCAATGTCAACATTTGTTGGTCAATTTCCGTAAGAAGTAAAACGTAACCCAATCAATGAGTCTTCAGTAAAGAAAAAATGTTAAAAATTGGTGAAATTGATATAAAAATATGAATTTGCTGTCCACTGACTTATTCTTTAAACAAAACTTCCTCTTGACTTTTTTTCATAAATCATGCAGAAGCCACCTAGTGAGTTACTAGACACTTGGGAGGTGAAGTGTGGGCAGGACGTCATTGTTCTGCTCCACCTCCGACAATCAAACGTCTGGCTCTGTTGACACTAGGACAACACTTCTTCTCAGACCGGTTAAAATAGACAAGTTATAAAGTAAAACCTTCTTATACTGCCACTGTTTGTCTAGAGAAAGTTTGGCATTCTAAAGGGGTTTGGTGATGAATTGAGGGAAATTTGTAAAGGAGTTCTTCAGAAAAAGGGGCGCCGCGTTGAAATTATGTTGCAAATGTGACAAAAGATTCAGGCAAGGGGCCAAAACTGTAAACTAGGAAATATTCGTGGCAGTTTTACTTTCCCCTATTTCCCCCACCCCCACCCCATGAGGGTGAATTTATCATGACAGGGAATTTTAGTTCACAACATGCAATAAATAGTACATTTTGTAATTACGTGTGAAGATTTTGTTAGTTATAGGTATTTGTATCTTAGAGATAAGTCTGTGTTGAATGTCTTCTATATAAATATCAAGATCCTCAATTTGATCTGAAAAAATAGTTAAATTGATTGGGATATTACTTGAAGAAGATTATTACATCTACTTAGGGGAAAACTCCCTCTATCTAACGATGAGAAGTGTGAAATGTGACTCCTTTGTGGATTTATATCATTGTTTGGTCTCAGTCTTGTCAAGTTTTAATTAAATGTTCTTGTTTGCATATTAACAGTAATGTTTGACTGTTTTATGACCTATCTAAGCCATTACTTGTCGACTTACCAGCAAATGTGAGACAATATTTATGTATCTAGGTGCACTAGGGCCAACGAAAATTCTATAATGAGAGGAAACAGTTTGATGGTTGCTGACTAATGCATACATTGTCTGGTAACCAGTAAGCTGTATGTATGCAAATATTGAAGCAATTAACTGCAATTCTCTTTAACTTGAATGAGCATGACATTTCATTTTGCAGGAACAAAAGACGACCCAATCAATGTCCTCTGCGAATTGATAATTACAATGAATTGAGATTTGATTAAGGCCCCCAGTTGCATTTAATCAATAAACTATCTATTACCTATCGTGGAAACTGTGGAAATTGGAAAAGAAAGTGTGGTCAACATATTGTCACAAACTGTACGCCTGTCTGATAAGAGTAAATATGGGATGGCAGCTTTCAATGGGAGCTGTTTATCAGTTAGACGGGTGCTATAGAATTGGGTATGTCGGCCCAGTCAGGTGTTTATTGTGGGAGCTGAAGTTATGAATAATGTTGTATTGGTGAGGAACACTTATTGTAATAAGTAAGTGTGTTATAATGGTGCGTTTGTGTGGTACTACTGGGTCAAACTTCCCCGTCAGGTGTGTTAATTTGTTGACAATCCACAGCCTGTCAACATATCGACTACGTAATTGAGGGGGCAAGCTCTCCTACTGTTCAGCACATACATTACTACAATGGTCATGCATTATTTGAGATTTTGTATAAAGAATGGTAAATCTTAAAAGTATACATGAACTAATACACTGGAGAAAAACCACTGCTTATACACTTGTACAAACTCCTACATGTACAAACTTCTATATATTGGGTTTATGTATTTATGGACTTTTCAAGTTATCTTTTGTTAAGTATGTTGATTTCAGATTTTGTATGAACGTACATGAATCTTCTGACGATACATGACCCGATAGGGAATACCATGATGAAACCCTGAGTTGTATACACATACGATGTATAAAATACACTGCCACGGTGTATAAAATACACTGCCACGGTGTATAAAATACACTGCCACGACGTATAAAATACACTGCCACGATGTATAAAATACACTGCCACGGTGTATAAAATACACTGCCACGGTGTATAAAATACACTGCCACGACGTATAAAATACACTGCCACGATATATAAAATACACGGCCACGACGTATAAAATACACTGCCACGACGTATAAAATACACTGCCACGTACCATATTATCAGTGGTGAATGCTATTGGCATTAAATGTAATAAGATATTTTAATAACAGTGTATCGAAAGAGAAGCTAAAAGGAATTGTAAATAAAAAAAAGTTTTGTAATATATATTAGGCAATTGAGCTTGCTTATATAATTATGAGACCAGGATTTTACCCTATCTCTCAGTTTTCTAATTTCGTTTTGTTTATTTATGTGTTGCAGGTGACCAGGGGATGAGTGAAGGTTTCCTGTGAATCTGTTGAGGAGCTGGACCTAGCTCGAGTGTCATATGTCACTTCACCTACAAGGACACCTGATATAGCGATAAAAAGGACTTAGTAGAGGATCACATCCACAAGAATAGCTGTAGCATGTAACTCGAGAATTTTTTTCATAATATCTTCGCTGGAAAACTGGAGGAATTACAGTTTCAGAATTTATTATCTTCATTGTTAAAGGTGTATCTAACGTGTATGCTTTGTATCAATTAGCAACCATGTATTGTCTTTCAGAAAAAAAGTCAAATAAGGCGATTGAAATACTATGTGTACTTATACTATTTAAATTGTTTTTTCACTTTGAAAAGGTGTGAATGTTATTTGTAGGCTGTAATAAAAGTAATTGAACTTCAACTTATGTAGATATATGGTCATTAGGAAATTTGGGTCAGATTTCCGCAGTGTTTTTCATTAATGTATGATATTTTTAGCTTGCCAGGCACATCATAACCTAGTGTCATGATACCTGGCCTATTGCATGCTGGGGAAAAGGTCTTTCAAGTTTATTTTACTGAAAACCTATATTTAAAGTGATAAAGGTCAAATGTGTTAAAAATTTAAAAACATTTTTCTGAAAACGTCTGAAGGCTTTTGGTCTTTTTGCATGGAGGAGATGAAGGATAATAAAGTTAATTTAAATTAATGACATTGACCTTCTTTCTAGATTACAAGGGTTGATTGTGTTAGAACCTTTTAACAACGTCTTCTGAATATCCATGAAATCTAGAGGAATAATGTGATTGGAATGGCTCCAATAACGTTTAAATCAATAACCTTGAACCACTTTGAAGCTCCGAATTAAGTGTAGATATTTAGTCTAAAACTTGCTTGCTTGCTTGCTATCAAATTTTGTTAAAATATATTTGACTTTTACCTACTTTGAAGGGCACAGATGAATGATGTACAATATTTAATAGTAAGTGAGCAATACAGGCCTATTTGGCCTCTGGCACAGAGAATACATTGATGAAAAAGACTGCAGCGTTCAAAATTGTCCCATTTCTGTCGATTTCAATTGAAATATATTTAAAGTTTGGGTAGGATTACAGAACACACACAGTCATGTATTCTGTTTCCGTCACCGAGGCTTGGATTCGTTTTGTCCTGGTAGGATTACAGAATACACACAGTCATGTATTCTGTTTCCGTCACCGAGGCTTGGATTCATTTTGTCTTCAGTTTGATATTTTGTTTTTGTATGTTTTGTATACTGAAGTAATGTTTTATTTTATGATAGTTTTGGTAGGATTACAGAATACACAGTCATGTATTCTGTTTCCGTCACCGAGGCTTGGATTTGTTTTGTCTCTAGTTTGATATTTTGTTTTTGTATGTTTTGTATACTGAAGTAATGTTTTATTTTATGATAGTTCTGGTAGGATTACAGAATACACACAGTCATGTATTCTGTTTCCGTCACCGAGGCTTGGATTCGTTTTGTCTTCAGTTTGATATCGTGTTTTTGTTTGGTTTGTATACTGAGGTAATGTTTTATTTTATGAGTTAAGAGTTCCATTTTATACAATTGTGTTATATATATACACTATACCTGATTGACCAGATTTGTTTCAAATCTTTTTGATGACACTTATATTTTATCTGACAGGCAGGAATTTTTCTGTTTTCAGTCATATTTTTGTTAATCCAAATTTAGTACTTTCGATTATTTGATCATATTTTCGGGTCATAGGAGAAATGTGTTAATTTCTTACTAGGGCATTTGGTGTGTTGTCTATTGTCCATCTTCTCTTTAAGAACTGCAAGTTCACATGGGTTAATGTTAAAAACTTCAAACAACTTCTTCTGAAGAACCAAAAGGCCTAAAGTAGCTTCCTCAACGTACGAAGTCAAAGTTTATGAAAAAAAGATTACCTTGACCTACCTAAAATTTTGTTATTCTGAAGACTATAGAGGTCAAAGTTAATGATACCTGGAAAATTACGAGTAGCATATTGGGTTGAAGTTGGCTCAAATGACAGACTTTAACCAACACTCAAGTTCAAAGGGGTCAAACATGTTAAAATCTTCAAGGGAATTTTTCTAAATACACAATATGACCTAGAGTTTATTGAAATAAAGGGCTATTGACCATGTTTAAATAAATGACCTTGACTCACCTGGTAACAAGGGTCAAATGTTTTAAAATATTTAAGCAATATCTAAATATCCATTAGTCTAGATTAATGACATTTGCCCTGTAGCTTGCTGCTGTTAAAAGTCATCAAGATCGTTTGTCAAAATAAATTACCTTTACCTTCATATTGGCCACAGGGGTCATATGTGTGAAAGATTGAAGTAAGGCCTAGGGTAGTAACACTAAGTCGGTAGCTTGCTGGTATAATACGTGATCAAGTTTGTTGAAATAACTGACCTTTGCCAGCTTTTGAAAGTCGCACGATTTGTAGACTGTTAATGTTTGCTTGGTTGATTTAAAGTCTGTCTCAGAATTTGTACTAAGTGGAACAGAGGGCATTAGAAATATTTATCATTACACTTATGTACCTTCATTAGTCTTCACCATCAACACAAGCGGCACAAGGCACAAGGGGGGGGGGGGGCGGACGGACGGACTATAGGTTTCCTCTCCATCCGTCTGTGTAACACCAATGTTTGTCAGCACTCTAGCGGCTTCATTCCTTGAAGTATTTTTTACTCGGACAAGTTCGAGTTTCAGGGTTGTTAGGTCAAGGTCACCGTTACTATTTTTAGAAAATCCATATCAGCGCTCTAGCAGCTTCATTCCTTGAGGGTTTTTGATCAAACTTCACACAATTACAAAGTACCATAATATCTCGGAAAAAATCGAGTTTCAGGGTTATTGGGTCAAAGTCAAGGTAACCGTTACTATTTTTAGAAAATCCATGTCAGCACTCTAGCGACTTCATTCCTTGAGGGATTTGGATCAAACTTCACACAATTACAAAGGACCATAATATCTCAGACAAGTTTAAGTTTCAGGGTTGTTGGGTCAAGGTCACCGTTACTACTTTTAGAAAATCTTTTGTCAGCATTCTAGTGGCGTCATTCCTTGAGGGATTTTGATAAAATTTCACACAATTACAAAGGACCATAATATCTCGGACAAGTTCAAGTTTCAGGGTTGTCAATCATTTGATTTTATATAATTCCTCTATCATAATACTAACATTACAATTTCTTGTATTGTTATTACATTAAAATCAGTTACAAGCTAATTGTATTCTTTTCTTTTTCCCAAATTAATCCCAAAGGGCCCCATTTTTTAAATCATTACAGTATAATAGCTAGCGGGGGCCAGTAGGGGACATGTATTGCTTTAGCAATACTTAGTATGCTTGTTAATATTGGATTGAATTTTGATTTGTGCAAGATTTTTTTTTTTTTTTTTTCGTTTAAAGAACAGTAGAGACTTTAACAAGGTGTTTACTGCTCTTTATTTAATTGACGAACATATATCAGATATGTACAATCGATACTTTAGCCATGGCCTGCTGGTACATAAACAATATTTATACAGTTTAAACTCTTTGTAGATGTCTAACACAAGGACAACTGGTAATCACACCTACACCTTTCAGTCCTAGGGTTCAAAGTCTGTCAACACTTTTAAGACTTCACAGCTGAGGATTATTTACTGTATGATCTTTGAACATGAATAAGTAGCCAATAAATTTATCTATGAGGCATGCGTGTAATAGACAGATGAAGAAATGAAAACTTTAATCAAAAGAAGATGAAATAATCTGGATAAAAATTTATAGCATAATTTCTCTTTATACCAGAATGTAACTGTAATTAAACTTCATGTTGCAATATGTTGTTTTTTTAATCTACAAAATGAGTTTGTGAATTAATATGCTAACTTTGTTTTCTGTATTTGCTGTAATTAGCACCCCTCCCCTTTTTTTGGGAGAAATTGAAAAAAAAAAACCAAAAAAAACTCCCTATCCCAGACATGACCTGGCCCAGTCAATGACTTACAATACTTTCACTTTAAAGCAGACATTTATGTCGGGTGATCACGGCTGGACTTCCCGTGAAGCGGGTTATCACGGCTGGACTTCCCATGAAGCGGGTGATCACGGCTGAACTTCCCTTGAAGCAGGTGATCACAGCTGGACTTCCCGTGAAGCAGGTGATCACAGCTGGACTTCCCGTGAAGCGGGTGATCATAGCTGGACTTCCTGTGAAGCAGGTGATCACAGCTGGACTTCCTGTGAAGCAGATGATCACAGCTGGACTTCCCTTGAAGCAGGTGATCACAGCTGGACTTCCCGTGAAGCAGGTGATCACAGCTGGACTTCCCGTGAAGCGGGTAATCACAGCTGGACTTCCCCTGAAGCGGGTGATCACGGCTGGACTTCCCGTGAAGCGAGTGATCACGGCTGGACTTCCCTTGAAGCGGGTGATCACAGCTGGACTTCCTGTGAAGCGGGTAATCACAGCTGGACTTCCCGTGAAGCGGGTGATCACAGCTGGACTTCCCGTGAAGCAGGTGATCACAGCTGGACTTCCCGTGAAGCAGATACAGCCTTTGCTCACCAAACCTCCAAACACATGGGGATGTTTATATAATGTCTTGCGATGACAATAAAACAACAGTTGAAGTTGTACAACGTTTTACTATCGTAACTCACATCTTATTATTCTAATGAGAGATGTCGCTTGAAGTCAATTTTTTTCAGCGCTATTGGGGCTAATTATTGCTAATATGTAATGATCGAGGAGTTCAGTCCACTGAAATTCTCGTTAATAACCTACCTGTTCAAAAAAATTCACAGAATTTTTGTTAACAATATTAGTATTATACCATATTGTGTTGACAATATCAGCATTATAAACTCAAATTCAAACATATAGGCCTATTGGGAGAACCTAGCTTAAAAGAAAAATTGTTTTGGGATGCAATGGGGGGAAAAAACTTCATAATAAACTGATTATAAGATGATCTTGGTTCAGACTTAATGGGAGATTGACAGATTTGAAGATATACCCTATCTGAATTTCTGTAGTACAGATAGTCTGAAACAGAATCTTAACTTAGCTTACAGTCTGTGATCCTGTTAATTACATGCTGCTGCAGATTTGTTTTATGCAATTGTTTGTTGTTATGTAGCGTGATCCTTTTCTTTCCAGACAATATCAGTAGTACATTATGAAGTTGAGCCTCGTTAGTCCAGCCATCCTTTTTTTCCATATAAGAGAGGCTTACTTTTGTATATGAAAGTGAGAATATGTTCCCCCTAAACACTGGCAGCATAGTAGGACAACAGTACCAGTGGAAGCCAGATGTTGGGACAACTTAATTATTGGTGGCTGAATCTTAAGACAACCATACTTGAGGTTGCTAGAAATCGTGACAAATAAACTGCTGGTTGCTTGATATCAGGACAACCATACATGTGGTTGCTGGATATCAGGACAACCATACATGTGGTTGCTGGATATCCGGACAACCATACATGTGGTTGCTGGATATAAGGACAATCATACTTAGGTTGCTGGATATCAGGACAATCATACTTAGGTTGCTTGATATCAGGACAAACATACATGTTGTTGCTGGATATTAGGACAACCATACATGTGGTTGCTGGATATCAGGACAACCATACATGTGGTTGCTGGATATCAGGACAACCATACATGTGTTTGCTGGATATCAGGACAACCATACATGTGGTTGCTGGATATCAGGACAACCATACATGTGGTTGCTGGATATCAGGACAACCATACATGTGGTTGCTGGATATCAGGACAACCATACATGTGGTTGCTGGATATCAGGACAACCATACATGTGGTTGCTGGATATCAGGACAACCATACATTAGGTTGCTGGATATCAGAACAACCATACATGTGGTTGCTGGATATCAGGACAACCATACTTTAGGTTGCTGGATATCAGGACAACCATACATGTGGTTGCTGGATATCAGGACAACCATACTTGTGGTTGCTGGATATCAGGACAACCATACATGTGGTTGCTGGATATCAGGACAACCATACTTGTGGTTGATTGATATCAGGACAAACATACATGTGGTTGCTGGATATCAGGACAACCATACTTTAGGTTGCTGGATCTCAGGACAACCATACATGTGTTTGCTGGATATCAGGACAAACATACAAGGGGTTGCTGGATATCAGGACAACCATACATGTGGTTGCTGGATATAATGGAGGTAATTGGACTGATGGTGACTGGATATGATCAGGACATCTGTACTGATGACGGTTCACACTACCAGGATATGGTTGGGAAAAACCGCACAGGTGGTAGCAGGATATGGTTCGGACAATGATAGGTGGCTGGATTAGCAATCCTCAACGGTACATTCATTGGGATGTCAGATCCCATGTGTAGGACCTAATGTCTAGAAGATTAATAGCAGAGGAAAAAAGGGAACCGTATATTGAAAGTTTTAGTTCACTTTTTGGAAAAGGCTTTATATTCAGTAGATATTTGACTTTTTGATTTTAATATACAGGTGATATGGAAATGTGTCTTGATCAGCTTTTCTTAATTTTCTTCTCATTGAATATAAATAATGCTGACATGATCAATGGATATGATCTTCTGTCTGTCAAATTATTCAGCAATAAAGAAAGAGTACTTTACTTCATTGTCTGGTGTGTTTTTATTAGCTCACATTACTCGTATGGTGTAGCATCTGTCGTCCATCCATCAACAACTTCTCCTTGAAAACTTGGTGGAACTCTTCTGGGGAAAAGATACATAAAGTATTAGGGTACCATATGTCCTTCAGAGGAAATATAATTTATCGTATATTCTAAAGGAGGATCCCGAAAAAGTTAAATCTCATAGTGTCATCAATATAATTTCAAAATTAGATTATAAAACATAAAAGATTAAAAATAGAGTATGAGAACAGACCGAATATATACCTAGAAATGAAGACATTGAAAAAAGCTGGTATTTTTCAACAGGATGTATACTTGTTCAAAGAAACTTCCTGGTATGCCTTTACAGCATTTTTGAGCCCACTCTACCAATAGGGAAGTTAGCTCAAAAAGGCTATTTACTAGCACGTTAATCTACAGGTACAGATGGGCCTAACCAGCATTAGATTTGATCAATGTCTAGGCCAGTTAGGTAGTAGGTTTTAAAAGGTTACACAGGTCGTAGGTGGGTCACTGGGCCTAAACAGCATTAGCTTTGAGTTCAGTATGAGCCAATTAGGCAGTAAGGCTCAGAAAGACTATCACAGGTCCAACGGGTAGGTGTAAACAAGCCCAGTGTGGGCTATTAAGTCTCAGAAAGATTACCTACTTAGGTCTAATTATATATCAATGTACAGATGGGAATTAACAGCATTAAGTGTAGGCCCAGTATGGGCCAGTTTCACAGTAGGCCTTGAAAGGTTACAAGTCTTCTTGCACATAGGTGAGCCCGGGAAGCCTCAGACAAGCATAACTAGCACATCTACCAACATGAACACTGTTGGTCCTAAACCACATTAAATTTTAGCCCAATCTGTGTAAATTAAACAGTGAGCTCAGAAAGGTTACAAGTCTACCTACACATATAAGTGTGCCTAGAAAGCATTGAGCCCAGTAATGGCCATTAGGCTCAGAAATGTTCCTAGTCTACCTACACATATAGGTGGGCCTAGAAAGCATTGAGCCCAGTTACGGCTAGTAGGCTCAGAAAAGTTC